AAAAATAATGCTAAAAGAACACATAAATAAAGAATAATAATAATAATAAAAATACGAGAAAACACACTTAAAAAACTTTTGTGTTTTGCAAGAATCTGGAAGCGAAAATAAAAGAAATGAAAACTGTTTATAGACAAGAAGTGAATAAATTTAAAAAGTGGAAACAAAAAAGAGTTTCCGATGATTTGCTGATTTCTTATACAGGGTGTTTAATTAAATATTGCAACGGAAAACTGTATATTCAAAAACAATTGTTTCCTTTCTGTCCTCTCGTTTGTCCTCTAATTTTAGTTTTTTTTGGGAATACGTTAGGTACTGACGTCTAAACTGCAGGAACGAGCTATTTTTTCGCAGCTTACTCAAATTATGGACCTGATAGCGGTCGAGATTTTAAGGGATAGTTGACATGTTTGCTTTTAAAATAAAAAAATAATTTTTCTCGAAACCCGTTAACTTTATAGCAATAAAGCTAGAAATCTCTTCATCAGCGCCTTAAAAATATATACTGACAAAATCATAGATTTTCCCGTGGCAAATCAGCTATACGTACCTCAGCATATACCTACATAGGTGCATTTATATAATATACAAATAATATATATATGCTGTATTATATTATAGTACAGCATACAGAATTTCATTTTTCTCTCTAAGAGTTAAACAGTGTTTTTCGTAAAAAAAATCGCAAATAAGAAAATCTGTTGGGTTTAGGTGTTTTGAGTCACACTAATCACAATTGAATTAAAATGCAATAAATGCACTACATATGCAAAGGCAATAAAAATTAATGACAATTAAAAAACTGAAGAAAAGGGATAAACGACTATCACCAAACTCGCGTTAACATTACAAACTTCGAACTGCACGAACCAACTGGTTAAAACTGAACAGAAGCAGTAAAAAATACTGGATAATGAGAACAAACTTTGTCACACTTGTTATCACAGATTGTAAAAACAATTAGTAAGCAAGCTGCTTGGAAAATTAATAAAATGATCATCATTCTGCTTTTCTGTTTGAAACTTTTGACCCATTTTAGGTGCAGATTCCCAGTTTACAATGAGTATCATTAGTTTGGACGCTTTAGCCTGAAAGCTGGGGTGTTTAAAAGTTACCCTAAAGCCGTAAATTACCCGCGCTAAAACCACAATTATGACCTCGACAGGCCAGTATTAATTACTGTTTTCATTAATCATGTCTTGGGCGGCATTCAAAACCTCCGACTTCCAAGTGGGATGTGAAACGGGGCGACTATTAATCCAGGCCGTGAAAAAACGATCCCCAGCTGCAATACACTTGTTACATGACACAAATTGTAAAGTAGGAGAACAAAGAGCTGAAGGGGAGATTTTATTGCATTATAACTATGAATCTTATGCAATACGTTGGCTCTTGTTGTTTGTTTTTACTGATTTGATGATATACCGATAGTAAACTACTAGCTGCAATAATGATTAAATTCGCTTTGAAAACTAACAAAATTAACACTGATCTTGGCCTAAACTAAAGCACTACAAGTCGTGCAACTTATTTTTTTTGCGCTCTAGTACAATATTCAAACCTCGTAACTCAGCAAAACTTTAACTCGTAGTTATGCGTGTACAATTAACAACTAATATTTCTTTCTAATAAATATTAGAAAAGTAAGGGGCTTAGCTAATATACAGGGTATCCCGTAAGCACAAGATCAAAAGGGTACTGCGATATTTTTTGCATCAAAAGAAGACGATCTGACCTAACTTTTATTAGCAAAATATGTCTGGCTCCTCTGCTATTGATGGTCAAATTTGTTCAAAAAAATCATCTTTTTTTCAAATATCAGGAGAATGGTACGGCGTATTTTGGTGAAACTCGCTGTGAATTTGTTCTTATGTTGTAAGACTAAAGAAGAAAACTAAGACTAAAGTTAGAAATTCCTCCATCCTTTGAACAAGTTGATTTCGGTTCTTCAACGTATTTTTCTTTTCCAGGGCGCAATCCGTAACATGGAACCCACATAAACTAATGGGGGCTCTTTTGCAATGTTCAACAATCCATTTCAAAGAAGACGTATGTTTAAGTGAGTTGAGTTTGCAACATTTTTCTCCAATGGTTCTTTGCTGTTTAGGGCTTGCTCATGAGTTGTAACCAGATGGCTGCCGATTATCTTTTCATGCAAGACAAGCTCTATGATATCAAGTTTGATACTGGAGATAAAGTGATTCAATGCGGTCGCCACAACGACATTTTCAAGCTGTGGTTGCAGTGGAGAGCCAAAGTGAGTAAACCAACAAATTTATTTGCAGATGCGATTTGTTTTACGCCAAATTTATTTATACCGGGTGGTCCAGAAATAAGCTGCGACCATCAACTTATCTTCTTCAAATGGATGCACCTATTTTTTATTTCAACTTCTTCCACAGGCCTTGATGAACTTACATAACTGACTCACGGTATAAAAGTCAAATGGGGCAAAAGTAGGTCGGGTATTGGCATGAACATGCACATAATGTAGACGGTTTATATTGGTCTTTTTAACTACGTGTTTTTAATGTTTTTCAGTTATTAAAACCTCTAATATTGTTCTCCATTTAAACCCCGTGTATTAGTTGCAAAGCCATCCTGATTTCAAAAGTTTTTATTTAATTTTAAAATTTTCCATCCACCTATACGCCTCTTAAATGTTTATTTTTACTGTTCTTACAAACTCTGGTTCGATCTATAAAAATCGGATTGGACTTAATACCGACTTTTCTTCGTAATTGTAATTCATAAATAAAGATCCTAATCAATTAACTCGAACGGTTAAGTTGTTTTCCTCTTATAGCTAGAGTTTTTTGGGGAAACTTTCAGCAAAAAGTTTCCCCAGGTGAGGCTCGAACTCACAACCCCGGCATCGCTCACGACTACTGTCTTATAAGTACCGTGCGCTAACCAATTGCGCCACTGGGGATCCATCGGAGATGGCCCATATAGAGTATACGTATATCGACCAAATTTATTAAATATTCATATATAAATTGAGATTAAATTTTACTTCACAGACGCCCCTAAAAGGTAAATGCTCAACTGAGGTGAACAATTACGGTTGTAAAATCGCGGTTACAGAAACATCGACTTTTTTGCACTAAACATTACAAAAACCCCACTTCTCAAATATACGCTTCAGTCGGGCTAAATTGCTTTATTTTATCGTTAGCACTGATAACAAAGTCGAAATTTAAACAGCAAAACAACAGTATTCTTGTAAGAATCCAGTTAACACAAATCACTTCTCACTCCACGCAACTCACAATACACGAAGCGTACACCTTAACCGATTACGAGGGAGCTTCGGAAGTTGGACCACCTCTCGAATCGAAAATACGCACCGTTTTCGAGAAAAGAATAACTTAACAAGTTAACTTTGCATAGAGGCTGAATAGAGACGAGGCGGAATGACTGTATTTAAGCGCTAATAACGCATTTTTTTCTTTAAAATTTTCTATTGATGGCTGTTTTCGAATAATCTTGAGAATTGTATTTTTCCTAATACTTTTAATGCCATGTAGATCCTAAAAGAAGCGTGTTCGAACTTGCGTTACTTGCACTATTGCGTGTAAAATAAATTTCTTCTTCTTCATTCTTTGAAATTTTGTAGTTGATTAATTTGCCCTTTTGATTTCATATTTTGCCGAAAAAGAGAATAAAAAACTGTAGAGGTACTTAATAGTAATATTTTGAGAGGAAAATTAATTTACAATCAACTGCTTCTCATAATAAAGAGTTATTTCAAGGCAATAATAGCGAATGCATATTTAACAGGGAGACGAAGGATTTGAAAAACACATGGATCGACTGATGGAACTATCTGAATATTTAGTGAAGAGAATCAA